TGTGTTGTTAGGACGTGAAAGGATCGACAGTGAATATCAACAGTAAATTCAACAGTAAATATTTAGCTCTTAACAACTGAACAGGAGATCAGGTTGTGAGTACAGACCGAATGCAGCGAGGTCTGTACACACGACCGAGGTCAAGATTCTCCCATACAGACCGACTAAGCGACCGACTAATAATAAGATTGTTATCATATGGCAAACAAGAAAAATTAATTCGTTCAATAAAACTGCTTTCTACTAGCTGACATTTTGCTTACAAACGGCGATGAGCTGAACTTAAATCTGCCAAAGTTTGCTCATCCTCTTTACTTTATGTTCCCACCAGGCTTGGAACTTCCATAAATGAATATTTTCTGGAACTAAGAGTTTGGAGGAAAATAGTCAATATTTTTGTTTTTAGTTTGCGACTTTTTCACGGCATAATGTAATCGGTCGAGATGCTGGTCTAGATCGGAGAATCTAGACTGCGGTTTATATCGATTTCAGCAAATCAAATTCGTGAATTCGGTAGTTCCCAGTCCTTGTGAGACAGACATATAATAACGATCCATAAGGAACAATCTATACAACTAGGTGAAATCCCGAATGGAATGAAACAATGCTCGTATGAGAACATCTTTTAATCTTATGTTTTTACCTTCTTAGGCTCAAACGTGAGGTGGAACAAATCCCGCCGCTGTGACCACCTCGATATCAAGGGTCATCAGAGCCAGACCAGATGTTATTACTGACCTTGCCCAAGTCTAGTCCTTTTAAGGACAACTTTAAAATTAAACTTCGCCTTTGCTTTAGATGACCACCCTAATTTGTACCATAAACGAAATCTAAACACAGCTAAAATTGTAGAAAGACCTATGTTAAGTTAGCAAGAGATGTTTATGCATGTTCACATGTTTGCTCATAAAATATTAAAATGGCGTGGTGTGTGCATGTCAACGAGTTTCCTTGAGGTACGATATTATTAACAATTGACTTTAAATAAATAGCGGTGTGGGCGTAAAGTAAATTTACTATCAAGGTTAATGATGAGAACATCATTTTGAGAGTTTTTTCTATAATTTCTGGAGATTTTGTCCATAACATTTCATTTACATTTACAAGACAGTGTAATAGGGCGGTAGGAGATTTTAACGAGCGCTACCGATTAGAACTTTTCTAGGACTGATCCGTTGCCATCTTACAAGTAAATGTAGCAGGAAGGATAAAGGTTTAGTTTTCCCACGTACCGGTAATTAAATTTAGACATAAATTAAGCGCTATAATCCAAAAATGTAAAACGAATTTGTACTTAGAAATTCTGATGTTGTAAAAACCACAAATACAGAAATTCTTCGACAACGTATATTCAAAACTTGTGATTCCGGCCTTTATCTTACTGAACGTTTATGATTGTTTCGTTTTTCTGCGTAAATTTAAGTCCTGAATTAGACTAATTTTGATCAAAATGATTGTGTGGCCGAAAATTGGATTGACAAGTTAACTTTTCTTTAATTTTTCATGGCACATCGAATATGACAGTAAATATGCCAGGGGAAACAAGGGAAAGATACCTTCTGTAGACAAATGACAATAGACACCTGCAGTAGACAAAACCCACGACAATAAGATACCTGTTATCGATGTCGTTTGACTGCCTTTTACATTCTGTGATGATCGTTTCATTTAGTTCACCTTTGTTTTTATTGTTTCAATTGTCGCGCAGAAGCTTTCTTTCTCTGTAAACAAGCAGCTAGCTTGTTAAAACGTAATTAATTCGAATATCACTACTTACTGGGCGTTCGCGCCGTAGTTCATCTGGAAGTTTTTTGAATAATGCTAACATCTCTTTTCAGGATTTTTTTTTTTTGTAAGAATATCAAATTTATGGAATGCTTCGCCTATTGATTCAAATTCTGCAACCAACGAAAATTCCTTCAAGAAGAAGTTTAAGACTTTCTATTTCACGAGATTCAAATAGTGTTAGACCCAGATGACACTAAAACGTTGTGAAGGTACCACAATCTTGTTGGACTCTTGCTCAAGCAGAAAAAAGAAAACCGTGCTCCACAAAAGATTACTTTAACTGAAGGGATCGAACAGACTGGCTTTCACGGTTATGCATGTTTTATTACGTAATGACGGGTGTCAAAAATAAGGGAAATTATAATTAAAAAATCACGATTCACGATAAAAAAAACTAACCATTTCACATTTACCGGTCATTCACGAAAATGCTCTCTAACATGCAACCTTTTTTTGATAAAAACAAGCTGAGAGCTCAGCAACATAAAATCAAAAAGCGAAACTATAAGACTCTGCTGGATTCTAAAAACCAGAAATCTTCGCCATGCAAAAGATCTCCACGATACCTGTGTACAGCGCTTTTCTCCTATCTGCCTCGTCGACGGGAATCACGGGAAGAACTGCTTTCTGTCTATCTGGACTAACCGCTGACCGGTTAAGCTTCGCCGTCTTTTTGGATAGGTGAGTTAAAACTCGGCAAGAACCCTGGGAACGAAGGAGATGATAAATGTTTATCACAAGCTTAGGAAACTCAATGTTCTGCTTACAAAAAAAATAACAAAAGCAACGACTAAATATACACGGAAAAATTTTAAGTCGATGAAGGGCCTGTTACACACTTCTGCGCCCGTTCACTGTATCAAGCTCCGTACTTTGAACTCTCTCGCGCCCCAAAAAACGCGTTGCCAAATCACGTGTTTCGGGGCGCAAGGAGACAAAGTGTCACGATTGGCTGTTGGGCTGGCGTTACATATCTTCGCTACACAGTGCCGACGAGTCCCAAAAGGGACAAAACAGTTGTTCATTGTTGCGATCCTGTTTATCAGTTCTT